GTCATTAATAAGCTCTCACACTGGTTCATTTTCACCTATAAATCCCTCCTTGGTCTGCTACCTTCTTATATCTCCTTCCACATGTCACGTCATCAGTGCAGTTACAACATGTGCTCTCAGTCCATCAATACCTGCAACGTTTCCTCAGTGCGGACTTAACTTTGCAAAAACACCTTCTCCTACACTGCTCCTGCAACCTGGAGCACCACGCAACAGGAACTGAAGTTGTCCACCTTGATTTCTTTAAGGGGTTTCAAACATTAAATAATGTCAATGGAAAAATCACGGCAGATATGTTCTTGTTTTTAATATTTCATCCTGTTTTATGGCACCCTGACTTATTGTTTTGTACACTACTCTTATTTTAACTGCATTTTTACTGTAGTTTATTGTTGTCAATACTGTTATCATTGTTTGCACTTTATATGTTGTGTCTGGAACAGGTCCCTCTTGTCAATGAGTCCTCTTGGCTCAATGAGACTAGCCTGTATAAATAAAGGTTGAATGAATGGGGTGGGGGGGGAACTGTAATAATGTGTGTGTGTGTAAATGTGAACCTGTAAAATGCTCTGCAGAATGTGGAGAGGTTAGAAGGTGTCCTTTAAACTGTGGAGCTTTTTCCATGTTTACATTTAGCATGAATTGTGTTCAGAAATTAAACTCTGCTCTCATTAACACAAGACTCAGTAAAGTCTTGTATGTGTGGATTTAACACAGTAAAAATGTTGTATTTGATCAGTGGAACAACTAAAGTATTATACTGAGGTCTAAAAAGATCACCTTAAAAACATTTTGATAGTCTGCTGTAGGTGGCCTAACAACTGTTGACAGGCCAAAAGCTGCCCACAATTTATGCATGTGCTATAAGGCAAGTCAGCAAAATGCACATCCTAACACCCCCACCCCACCTGCTTTACAAAACTGACTGCCAAATAACACATCAGAGAGGTGTTACTGTAGGTGTGTAACTGTGTCAAGTTTCTGTGATACCCTTAGAATCAGAAACTTTTTTTTTTGCCATGTACATTTTCAAAAGCAAACGTTTTGATTCAGTGTCTCGGGAAAACAAATGTTAAGAAGCGTTTCGCTTATTTATACATATATGCACACAAATAAAAAGACACTTAAAACCTGAGCCTGGTTAGTGAAGACAAAAGCTCACAGCTTTAATGGAGAAAAAAAAACAAAGGACAAAAGATCACTTTTTTAAAACACCAAGGGTGTGATATATTTGTCCACCTCAGATCGGGTAACCCACAGACTTACTCACACATTCCTGATTTTGAGTAGTTCTCACCTTCTAACCTTCCACACCTAATTTCTTTCTAATATTATTATTCACTTGGGCAAGACTGAGCAGTGACTGTGTTTATGAACGAGTTTCTTTGAGCAGTTCTTATCAGTGCTCATCTAGTACCTCACCTATTTCCCACCTTGTCTATATTACTAAATGAGGTACTTTGAGCAGTTATCACAGATGACCTATAAATATGTCAGAATATTAGAATCACTCAATCTCAGCTTGGAGATCATCAGAAGCAACAAGGGTGGTGCCAAGCTTTGCCTGGAGGGCTGCAACAAGTGGGTTCAATGACAGTGCAATCAACAGAGATCAGCTGGGTGTGTGGGTGAAGTCACAGTGAATGACACATGGGAGAACCCTCACCCTTTTGTCAGCCATAACCACCCAGCAGATGGGACATGTCACGTCACAAAGCTACACACAGTAATTCATTCACTTCAGTTTATTTATACAGCGCCAAGTCACAACAGAAGTCATCTCAGGCCACTGAACAGGAACCTTCATACATAAAATAATAATTTAATATTATTTATCTGAGGAGCAGACTGCTTTGAATTTAACTCCATCACAGAATTCTCATCTTGAGCAAGCACGAAGGCGACAGTGGAAAGGAAAGCCTCCCTCATGAGGAAGAAACCTTTAGCAGAACCGGACAAGCGACCATCTGCTTCAACCAGCTGGGTTTGGTAGGAACAGATACACAATGGCAGGTCAAGAATCACGTAAGGATAGAAAGAGAATCAAATGAAAACTATTCAATTTGAACAATTCATTTAAGGAAATTAAGTCAATTTGTTCTCCATTAGTCTAAGCCTATAGCAGCATAACAAGCCAACCCTAACTATAGGATTTATCAAAAAGGAAAGTCTTAAGTCCAGTCTTAAAACTGGACAATGTGTCAGCCTCACAGACAGAAACATGAAGTTGGTTCCACAAGAGAGGAGCCTGATAACTGGAAGATCTTCCTCCCATTCTGCTTCTGGAAACTCTAGGAACCGCAAGTAAGCTGAAGTCTGAGAGTGAAGTGCTGTGTTAGTAAAATATAGAACAATAAGATCTGTAAAATGAGATGGAGCTAGGTTGTTGAGAGCTTTGTAGGTCAAAAGTAAGAATTTGAATTCAATTCTGAATTTGACAGGGAGCCAGTGGAGAGAAGCTAAAACTGGAGAGATATATGATCTCCATCAACTCGTTAAAACACTGGCAGCAGCATTTTGGATTAACTGAAGGAACAATGAAGGCAGTAGCAAAACAGTCAAGAAGTCGACCTAACCAGATCCTTCAACAGGCTCTCACTGAGCCAGCTGGACGAGGCTCAACGCCTGTGGTGCGGAGGAAGTTGACCAGTGTTAAAAGATGACGCCAGCATGTAGACCAATTCTTTCTTTTCTGTGGTGATTGTGAAAGTGCATTTTAGAGTGTATTTGTGTGTATTCTGTCATTTTCTGGTGAATGTTGACTTCATCCAAAACATTTCTGACATTGACCCGTAGGTGGATGAGTGTGTATTTTCTGATTACTTTGAGGCCTTGTGCTTCTAGATCATCTGGGTAACATTTAGTCATTTTTCTTTCTTTTAAAGACCAAGCAAGGACAAAAAGACAACTGGAAAATCACATTTGTTGTGGCTCTCCTTACGTCAGACATCTTGCGTCCGTACTAAATGTGTCATGGTCATCTTTTTGACATGATTGTTCTATTTTTTTGGGGGGTTCATTCTTAACAAACTTCTACTATCTTATTAATGTATAGCACAGAGTGCAACAGTCTTATCTTTTCTAACATTTTTATGTGAATGTCAAAAAACTGGGACTCAAGACATAGTTTACACTTTCACACACAAAAAATTACCCACAACTACCAGTGGTCTCAGTCAGTTAGTTGCATCCTTTTTAGTCTTCAGACTGTGTAACAAAGACTTTGAATATTCCTGTGACAAAACTAGTTCTGAGTCGTTCATGACTTCCCTCACATCTGAAAGTATTTAACAGCTTGCGCAGTGTGTTAGCACAAACAGAGGCTTCAATGTATGAATGTCATTAAGTTTGTTTTGCCTGTTTAAGCTGTATTGTGAATTTTATAGCTCCAAGGCTGGGATTATTGGCCTTTTCATGGCAGCAGACTTGCATAATTGAAACCAAGATGGTGGCATATCACCAAAAATGCAGAACTGATGTGAAAGTGGAGAGAAACTGAATATAGAGCTAAGGATGAGTAGGAAAATGAGTTCAGCTGAGATTAACAGTGAAAGAAGATCAGGTGAAGTGGGCATGGCAAGGTGACTGGAGGCCGACTGGGGGGGAATGAGAAATGATATAGGGAACACGGGGAAGCTATAAAAACAGACCAGTCAGGATCTAAACTGAGGGGGAAAACACAAACTGATGAGGTAAAACCAAGAATCACAAAATACAGGATCTAAGCCACAAAAAACAGTCACAGGATAATCAAAATATACAGATCATCAATTCTAGCTCGTTGTCTGTAAAACAGGCTGAGTATGAGCTGCTCTTGTTCTTCCTAAGGTCACTTGTGTCGTGGCTGTCTTGTATCAGGATGACTACAAAAGGTCATCACTTTTAGGAGAGTGGTGGCGCAGAGGCTAGATAAGATGGGCCTGTGATCGGAAAGTCACAGGTTCAACTCCTGGTACCATCAACATCAAAATGTGGGTGGAAAAGGTGAAACACCCACACCTGCCTCCACCCTCATTTGCCCCACTCTGGGCCCCTGAGCCCTTAACCCCCACCATCTGCTCCCCAGAAAATCACGTGCGACACCCTGGACAGGTCTCCAGTCCATCACAGGGACACATGAAAAACGAGACAAACAACCATTCACTCTCTCACTCACACCTAGAGACAATTTAGAGTCACCAATCAGCCTAACATGCATGTTTTTGGTCTGTGGGAGGAAACTGAAGTACCTGGACATGCCCATCATGCACGGAGAGAACATGCAAACTCCACCCAGAAAGGTCCGGGGCAAGGATTTGACCCGGCGACCTTCTCGCTGAAAGGCAACAGCTCTACCGACTGATCCACCGTGCCTCCTCCTTAGATAAATAAAACACTACTAAGAATGTTTCTGTTCCCTGATAACTTCTGTGACTTGGTGCTATATAAATAAACTGAACTGAACTGTAGATGTTTATTCACTTTAATGTGAGTTGTAATAAAATGCATCCAGGAGCAGTTTATGAAATAGTTTGCTGAGTTGAAACTCCAGTATTTCAAAACAGAGTTGATCAGTTTTGTGCTTGGATCGGAGTATCTTAAAGTGGGTCTACCTCAGAAGTTAAAAAGTTGAAGAAATACGATTATTTCCTGAAAGTTTAATTAGAGTATGTCAAATGGTTCATTAGATATTTTGCAAACAAAAGCAAAAGCTCAAAGGAATCCTTCACATTGCTCCTGCAGTGTGAACCCAAACATCATGATTCTTGAGATTTGTCACTGTTTGTTTCTGTAAATACAGTCAATGCTGGTAGTTTAGTCCTTTACAGATTCCTGGCACCTCTGAATGGAGTTTCCTGTGAGTACGGAGTTTATTTTTGTTTTTTTCAACGTCACTGAATTTACGAGTTAATCCACGTGGTACCTTGAGTTTGTATGTTGTGGTTTGCGTAATGCGCTCCCAGTTCGGGGTGGTGGGTGGGCTCTGTCTGCCTCACTTTCTCACTCTCTCTCTCTCTCTCTCTCTCTCTCTCTCTCTCTCTCTCTCTCCCAGTATAAGAGCGCATCTGTTATGGAAACCACATCACACTGCAGCTCGCTCTCGCGCAGAAAGGATGATGAGCACGCGGACAGTGAAATCCAACCCGGCCATGAAATTAATGGTGGTGAGTAAAACCCGAACATCTGCATCCTAGAGCCGGAATTATGTCTTAAAATATTGAACGTAGCGATAATCCAGGCTGAAATAATTATTTTAAAACCGGTTCTGGCTTTGTTCAAATATTTCCAATCCAAAAGAATGTAGGATATTCTGCACTGTTTTGATTTTTTTTTTTTTTTTTTTACAACACGTGTCAACAAGGATCAGACGTATTTATAGTATTACCTGTCTGACTGTCTGTCTGCGCACAAGATTACTGAAAAAGTTGTGAACGCACGTGCATCACGTTTCCAGCAAATGTTGAGGCGGTCACAAAAAACAAAACCACTACATGTTGCTGATGATCTGGATCAACATCTGGATCCAGGAGTGTTTTTAATGGATTCTTGTCTCTGTGCACATGATGCGTGAGTGACCCTTGTGTCTTGGTGGAGGTGCGTGTGCTCAACCTTAAGTCTCTGTAGATACCCAAACTGTAAGTAAGACTAGCCCACTTCCATGTGTAATTATGTTTGCACCTTTGTTGCTTCAAATTAGCAAAGATCATATGAGTCATATCAGGAACATTCCTAAATAATTTATCAAATGAAACCATATTTTATTTCTTCACGAGGTGCTAAACTCTGCTTGACTTTTATATTAACAGCTATAAAAGCACAGCACATCATCTCGGAATAAAATTTTACTTTGGTTCATAATTTGTTGCTTATTCCAGTGGTTCCCAACCATGGTCCTTGAGGAACGCCATTCTGCATGTTTTAATTGTTCAGCGGCTTTGAACGTTAACAGCCCATTAACTGGCCGGTTATTAGTTGTTATCATCCCAGTAGTTAGCGTTCAGACTGTCCCGCCTATACTCCTAATACGTTTAAAGGGACATTACTATTGCTTTGACACACCTGATTTGAAAGAATGGGTGATTAACGGGCTTCGGCAGAAATTGATGAAGTAATTTTATCACTGAATCACGTGTGTTGGAGCAGAGAAACAAACAAAAACATAAATAATGCAGGATGGTGTTCCTCAAGGACCAGTGTTGGGAACCACTGGCTTATACGATCATAATGAACTCCAACCATCCCTTCATTCTAATCCAAGTCTGTCCGACATTTGTTCTAGTTTTAAGTTAGAGTAAAAGCCGTTATTTTCGATGGCATGCAGCATAGCACTGGATTGTTTGCAGGTTTGCAGTTAATGCACAAACGTGTATCGGGTCACAGATTTTAACATTGTGTGACTCTTGCTCTTTTGCTATCTCTCTTTGTGCTCCAGGTGTTTGAAACTGTGGCACACAAGAAGGAGGTTGTTTTGCACAAAGCATGTCTAATTGGAGATTCTGTTTGTAACGTGTTTTCAAAGAACAAGGTGGTGACATGCAAATGAACAGGTGCGAGAGATCTTTGCTTTGTCCCGGAGGCTTTAATGTTAGCCAAACAGATTATTTCTTCTAACCCAAAGAGGAGCAAAGTTAAAGCTGTCATAAGAATTGAAGCACTCTTAAATTCTTTGTCAAAGTCAGCGTGATGTTATTCATCACATGATGTGGAACTGGCATTTTCGTTCGGGGTCACTTGTGTTGTGGACAGCTGAATGTATCTGTGTTCTGGTGACCAAAGTTTCGCAGCAAGAACTTTCCATTTATCATTTCTCCGTCTCGCAGATGAAATAATAAAATATTTCATGTTAGATGTACACACTTTTTCACACGTTTTACTATTTCGTCAGCTATCTCCCAAATAAATATGTCAGCCTCCTTGTACAGTGTGTTCACATGAGCACGTACCTGATGTTAACTTCAACAATTCATTTCCAAACCTTTGTCCTCCATCTCGTTTCTCAGTTTTGAAATAAAACTTGTAATTTTTACATCAAAATGTGCAGCTCAATTAGCAGTGGTGTGATAGGACCTTTCAATGCCATACAGCATACAATGCAGAAAAAATTTTTACAAAAAAAGCGTGTGAACAAAATAATTATTAAGAGAAAAACCAGTCCTCTTTAAAGCCTTAAGACATATTTCAAAGTATCATCATTCAAAGTTTAAATACTAACATGTACTACTATAAGTTCCTCTGTCCTATGATGATGCGTGTTAGCCTTTAAACATACATTTGCTGTTTGTTTGTCCTCCTTTTTCTGGATGGAGTCGTGGAATAATAAATATCAGTGTTTATTTTGATGAAAAAATATGTTTTTTCAAACTATGGAGAGCAAACAGCAGCTCTCCAGCAAGACATGAAACCTGTTTGTGGCCTGTTGGTCTATTCAGACTGTAATCCTGCCCTAAATCCCTGTGCTCAACTAAACCTAATACCTCTTTTGTTGTTATGGGTTATTTATTATCTCTGTCTCTTATCTTTATGTCCCCTCTCCTTTGCTCTCTGTTGTGGCAGTTGGCTGTGGTCGCAGCAACTTCCCTAATCCTGACAGCAGGTTCACACGCACCAAAGAGATCAGTTAGAACCAAAAAATAATCTATTATTTTATTAATAATGTCTCTAATTGGTTGATTGCTACAAATTGAACATATGAAGTAAGTAATACAATAAGGATGGATAAATAAAATGCTTCTGTAAATATGAAGAGTTTGATCTTTAAAGAACAAACATTCCAGATGTGATGGTCTCTGTGGCTTCCCCACACCAAGCTTCCTCTTTTCCACCAACAGTAGCTCTGAAAGCAGATGTCTGAGTCCACCTGTGTGTGTTTGTGAGCCTGTACACAGTTATGATGAACATGTTGACTCTGTGAATGTGTGTAAGACTGGTTCAGAAATGCACAGATGCAAAAATACGTGAAAAAACAAATCACCTGCGTAACGCAGAAGTTCTCATTTGCATTCTAACTTAAATGTGTGTGTCATAAAACAAAATGATTCCTCTGATGCAAATATCGTTAATGTGGCAGACGACACTTTGATTTAATTCACTTGGAGCTTGAACAGACAGTTATACAAATACACATGTTAAAATGTTGACAATGTTTAGACATTTGCATTGATTGTTTAAACAAATATTTTCCATCATCAAATGGTTTAAAACATTGTGCTAGACTTTTAGAAATGAGGGTAATACATTTTCTTGGACAATAAAAAATTAACAAAATAAAAAAACCTATAACAATCTTTGGTTAACTTGATAAAAGCTAAACTTACAAACGCTTAGAAGAATGTGTACACTTCAAAATTTTGATTATTATTCTCAATTGAAAAAAAACAAAAGGTGGACTACAGCAAATTAGTTGCAGCTGCTGCTGCGACTGTGTTTTCCTACTTGTTAAAGGATTAGGAACTTACAGGATCAGACTAATGTTGACTAATTTTTTTAAATGGCACAATATTGGCTATGTGTGTGTGCATGTGTATGCATTTATATATAGATAGGTGAATAATATATATATATATATATATGTGTGTGTGTGTGTGTGTAAATATGTGCATGTATATGTACGTTTGTGTACATGCATTTATGTACATGTGTATGTGTGTATGTATGCATGTGTGTACGTGTGTATGTTTGTGTGTATGTGTGTATGTATGTGTGTACAGTTTTTTTTCAGCCTATAAATAGCAGTTTTTTGCATAATTTACATGCCCTGCGACTTGTATGCTGAAGCGACTTATTTATGGATTTTTTTCCCATATTTACAAACCAATTTTTGGCTGAGATATGACCATTTTCATTCATTCTGATATTGATAATATTGAACACTAACATTTTTAGCTGCTAGATGGCACCCAAGATGTATGGCATGCTGTTGTGTCATGTAATAGGTAAAAGTGGCTATTAATGACACAATCGGCTTGCCAGTGTGTCAGCAAGCCACCTTCCTCCAGCTCTGGGATCATGCCTAGAGAAACCGTCAAATCAGCTTCATTTCACTACACTGCCCAGGCAAAATGCAGCTAATTTGACCATTAAAGTGCATTTAAGTAAAAGTTCAACTGAGACACACCTTTGCTATAAAATCAAGTTAACAAATAATTGTCTTGGGTGGTTATCTTGTTAATTTTCAAAGAATTGGACAGCAAGTCGTCCTCTGCACGTTCCTGTTTCTGCATATAGGCTTTTGAAATGCAGCTGATTTGACCATCAAAGTGCATTTATGAAGTAAAAGTTAGACTGAGACACACCTTTACTATAAAGTCGAGCAAACAATTGTTTTTAAGTGTTAATCTTGTTAAATGCTTCTTCAAGTCCTCCTGTGCACACTCCCGCTGCTGCCATTTGGCAGTCAATCGATTTTTGGCACAACACAGGTCCACATTTCCAGGTTGTCAGCGGTGACGCATAGTAGATGCGATATATATGGCGAAGCGATGTATTTATGCTTTTTCCACTTTATTAGACATATTTGGAGTGATGTGGCTTATAAGGCGGTGCGATATGTACGGCATAAAATATGGTATGTATGTGTGTATGTATGCATGTATGTATTTATGTATGTATTTATGTATGTATTTATGTATGTTTGTATGCATGTGTGTGCATGCATGTGTATATGTATGTATATATGTATATAATTTTATTGTAAGCACGTTACAAGATATTTGTCCTTTAATCCATGTTTTCTTCTCATCTGGTTCTTCATGTGTGATTTGTCTTTTGCTAGCCTTTTCTCTGAAGATGGTAACGGTATAATTATGTTTGTCATTTGCCTTTGGCTACAGTGTAATTTAGGCTGCCCAGGTTGTCCGTAAATGTATTTTAGTGGGAGCTCTAAAGGTGACGAGGAGGTTAAATTGGTCATTCTTTTAGTCAACAATAGATGCACGACAACTTTTAAAAAGAATTTTGTTCTTATTGGGGAATTGCAACCAAAAGACTAATATTCACAGTTGGATCATATGCACAGTGTGCCTCAAGTTAGTTTATTAATGTATCTATTCAATATAATCAGCAACAAGTGTACAAGGAGAGTAAGTGATGCTCTGGGAATTTGTGGACTGACTGAATAAATGTGGGAAATTGCAGTGAATCATCAAACTGTTATGGGTGTTTTAGCAGTTTCAAAGACATTTCTTGTACTTAATCGCCACAGTTTCTAACATGAAATAAACATCACTGAGAACGCAAATTATCCTTTATTCCAGTTGCTTTGCAGTATAAATACAAAGCTTGACCACTTATGCAGTAAGGAATCCCAATCAATGAAGTCATCATGACTTAACGCTAAGATTTAAGTTAAAACAAGAAGTTAAACAATGATCACATTTGCAAAAACGGTCCGGCAACCCTCGTCAGCCCTGTCAGTATACACTATCAAAACTTCCTGATGTGTCTAAACTAATAGGATGTGGTCTTGGGGCTTAATATTGTGTGTACATGATCCTTAATTTGTAGAATGATGCTGTGATTATGGGGTTGATTCCTCGTGGGGCCACCCATATTACAATCCAACTGCTGCAGCTCTGGGACTCCTCAGCCAGCCGCTGCAGATGAAAGACTTCCCTCAAACGCTGTGTTCAGAGGTGGATGGATTTTTGCTGGGAAATGTGCCTGGCTCACCCGGACGTTTGAAGTTTAGGTTTCTATTATGGTGCATAAAAGAAAAAGCGTTCATCTATTTTTGTCGTCCTTTCTTGGTGAACGCCACTGCAAACAGAACCAAAAACAGATTACATAAACGAGCAGTTTCACCACTGAAATCTGTGTTTATGTGTATTTATATGTCATTAAGAGTGAACCGAAACACTGGCTCATTCTAAACTGGCAGCTCAAATCAGCATGATTAGTAACATATGGCCAAAGGGAAAGACAGCTGTACAGCATATTATCTCCTCCACACTCACACCCTGAACATGAGCATACATTCTGTTCTGATTTTTAAAAAGTCTGAGGCCAAATATTCTCCAACTTATTGATGAAGGCTATTCTGAAAATTGGATTTCTTTGTTTTTCCTTGTACCAGTTTGTGATATGTCAAAAGTGGAAATACAAACGTGCAGGATGGAGATCAATTGTGGGCAGTTTTGTAAACTGAAAAGCAGATTTGATGAGTGTTTTGTGCTTTGGTGGCAAAAAGGGAAAAGCCCAGTAACCTTTAGGAGGCCTCTTTATGTGCAGTAACCAGAAGAGGAGGCCACAGAGCTTGGACACCGACTGAGAGGAAGACAATAATTTGTATTAAAAAACTCGGCAAACATCTAATGAACATATCCCCAGCATGCACACGATCACACACATCAGTTGATTTCCATAAAGGGCAAATTTTTCATTTGGATGTATTTGTACCGTTTTGAATATGGAGACTCAATATTAACAAATAAGGCCTATAATTCCTTAAAGGAATGCATGCATCCCACTCTGTTTATATTGTTTTATATTATTATTGTTTGTTTCTGTTTGTACAGCACTTTGGTTGGTCCTGTTGCTGTTTAAAGTGCTCTATAAATAACATGGTGTGGTATGGTATGATATGGTATATTAAGATCATTTTACATTAAAAATGACTCAGTTATAATCAATTGGACAAACTTAAAAATGGATGAGATGATTAAAAGGTGCAATAAAAAACAACCAATTAAGTGGGAATAATCTTTTTTTATTTTGTTCACAGCTTAAAATAAAGTAAAAACATAAAGCTACTGTTTACATCAAATATGTAAACACTTAAAAATCTGTTTATTTTGTTGTTGTCCCAGAGCAGACTTGTTAAACTGTGAACATTAAAAATGGATTTATAGTCAATGAGAAGTCCCATTCTTGTGTTTCGCTGATGTGGATGCAGGATGAAAATGGCAGTTTTCTGTTCTTACCACACTCTGACAGTGGGTCTTGTGTATTGCCCAATGTGGTGAGCATTGTGTGATTGGTCAGAACTTTGTGGGCGTGTTTGTTTGTGCAAGCGGCTGCAGTCAGCTGCTCTTTGAAAGCAGCATCTCCTGAAGAGATGCTGGCCGTAGGTTTTTGAAGATACAGCAGTTTGAGCAAAAATGATAAAGATATTCAAATAAAACTTAAAGATAAAGATAGTCCAAAAATTCATGGAAGGAGACTGGACAGTTTTGTGCACGTAGGAGATGACACGAAGAATTAGCCACTCTCCATGGCTGTGCTGACAGCGAAAAAGGGCAGCATGGTGGCGCAACTGGTAGAGCTGCTGCCTCTCAGCGAGCAGGTCCTTGGTTCAAACCCCGGTCCAGGGGCCTTTCTCGGTGGAGTTTGTATGTTCTCTCCGTGCATGCGTGGGTTTTCTCCGGGTGCTCCGGTTTCCTCCCACAGACCAAAAACATGCATGTTAGGCTGACTGGTAACTCTAAATTGTCCCTAGGTGTGAGTGAGAGAGTGAATGGTTGTTTGTCTCTATGTGGCCCTGTGATGGACTTGCGACCCATCCAGGGTGTACCCCGCCCCTCGCACAGTGATTGCTGGACATGGGCACCAGCGAACCCCGTGACCCAAAATGGAATAAGCGGGTAAAGATAATGGATGGATGGATGGATGGATATATATATATATACACACACAATAATCCCTCACTTATCGCAGGGGTTACGTTCCAGACACCTTGGCTATAGGTGAAAATCTGCGTAGTAAGGACGTTCTATTTATTTTAGTATTTATATTTTAAGGCTTTATAAACCCTTCCCACACTCTTGCAATGTTCTTAACAATGTTATAAGCTCTCTAAATGCTCTAAAAGAGCACCGTGAAAGAGAGCAGACAGACTGATGCTATGGTTGTGTGCAGCAGTGACACTGACAGGTAGTGGACCAATCAGCAGCTCCTTTTCTTGAACTCCCTGTTCTCAGTGATGGACAGTTTTGTGGGGTTCTTGTAGTCAAGCATCAGCTTCTGCATCTGCTGTTCCTAAGCCAGTAGCCACCGCTCATACTCTTCTAGACAGCACCCAGTCAACTGGAGGTGGTCCATGCATGTTAGGCTGATTGGTAACTCTAAATTGTCCCTAGGTGTGAGTGAGAGAGTGAATGGTTGTTTGTCTCGTTTGTCTCTATGTGGCCCTGTGATGGACTTGCAACCCATCCAGGGTGTACCCCGCCCCTTGCACAGTGATTGCTGGACATGGGCACCAGCGACCCCCGTGACCCAAAATGGAAGAAGCGGGTAAAGATAATGGATGGATGGATGGATGGGTTTTGAGACTGAAGTTATTTTAAGACAACAGCAATCTGTTTTAGTCCTTGTTCTGCTGAGGCTTGCCATTAGTTAATGACTCTGTTCAAAATTAAACTATATTACTTCAAACTGAGAAGGTGACTGTTCATAAACTTAGCACAGAACCTCACTTCATAAAAAGTCAGAACAGTAAATTTAACCAACAAACCTTCTTTAAATCTCTTTCTTGTTGAAGACTTTGAGGTTGGAGTGAACTCCACAATAGTTTCTGGGCAAAGAAACAAAAAGTTGGGCACAAGACAGTTTTTTTATTTTTTATTTTTTTATATTTCATCACTGCTAAAAGCGTCCTTTCTTTTTTCTTTCAGCTTTTTACAACTTCTTTTTCCTGGGCCTTTCAGCAACAAGTTGTGCCTCCAAAGTACCAGCACAGAGACCCTGTGACTTCTGACCTCCTAATATGTGACCAGTGTCCTCCTGGGACATCTGTGAGACAACACTGCACTGCTGACTCACCCACAGAATGCCAGCCCTGTCCTGACAAGCATTTTGCTGAGAACTGGCACTGGGGGGACATGTGTCAGTATTGTACCTTGGTATGTACAACACCGATGGCTTGCACTTCAGACTAATGTAAGACAGTTTAGGACCTACAATGAACATCACTATCTTTAATATCACCACACTTTCAATGTGGTTTTTGAATTTATATTTTAGTGACTTCAAATGAGCCTTTTCAGTATTTTTTATCCTAAAGCCCCTGAAAGAGGTTTTTTTTTTTAATATTTTCTCAGTTGACTCTTTTCTCTGAATTGCTACCTTATCATAGTGGCACAGTTTGTGGGCATGAATGGGGACAATTGCTTCTCTTAGGGTCTCCCAAGGCAGACTGGTCCTAGGTGACAGGCAAGACAGAGAGGGATTCAGAATACTCAAATGAGCAGATGACAACAAGAACCTTGATATCCTTCCCCCAGATTTGGGTTACCAGGACCCCACCCTGTAGCCAGGTCTGGGTGAGGGGGTCATCAGCCATTGCTTGGTGACTGGGTCTCTACCCATGGGGCCCAGTTGGGTTAAACCAGAATGAGCTACGTGGGTTTGCCTTTCTGTGGGCCCACCATCTGCAGGAGGGACCATGTGAGTTAGGTGCATTGTGCCATAGATTTTAGCTGATGGTGGGGGCCTTGGCACTCTGACCCTTGCTTAGCAAAGCTGGCTCTTGGAACATGGAATATCACCTCTTTGGAGGGGAAAGAGCCAGAGTTTGTTCAGGAGGTTGAGACTAGTTGAGCTCACCCATATGCATGACATGGGCTCTGTAACCAATCTCCTTGAGAAGGGCTTGACTTTATTCCATTCTGGAGGTGCCCATGTACTCAACTCTGGAGGTGCCCATGGTGAGTGGCACCAAGTGGTTGTGGGTCTACCTCTAGGCTCCTGGCTTGGTTCCTGCATGTATGAGAGGGTAGTTTCCCTGCACCTTTGGGTGGCGGGATGAGTTCTGGTTGTTGTTTGTGCCTACGAGTGAACAGTTTAGATTATACACCTTGGTACCCATCCTTTTTGTGAGTGTGATCTATTCGGATCAACTCAGATCTATTCAGGGATGCTGGAAAGGAGCATCCAATCAATGATTGTACCTCAGATTCAGGAGGAACAGTGCAGGTTCTTTGGGCCATTCAGTCACAAGCATTTGGATGGTTTGTTTCACATTTCCAGTGTTAAGTCAGACCACTTAAGGGGGTAGTTGAACTCCTCCAGTCCTGCTTGATGTCACTGATTCTTTTCATAACTTTTATGGACAGAATTTCTCAGTTCAACCAGGGGACAGAGCTGACTGGGTTGAGAGTGAGGTGCTGCTTCAAGTGCATGAGCTCAAGAATCTTGGGGTTTTGTGCATGAGTGAGGGAAGAATGGGGTGTGAGATCGATACTAATTGATGCAGCTTTCCCAGTATTGAGAATGCTGTGCCAGTCTTTTTAAGTGAAAAGGGAGCTGAGAGCAAGGTGAAGTTCTCAGTTTAACTATGGTCTCAAACTTTGGGGTGTGACTGAAAGAATGAGATTGCAGATACAGGAGGTCAAAATGAGTTTTCTCCACAAAGTAGCTGGAAGTTCAGTTCTTCGGTAGAGTCTTAGAGTTGAGCCATTGTTCCTCCACATTGCGAGGAGCCAGTTGATGTGGTTTGGGCATCTGGTAAGGATCCCCATGGACAACTGGAAGAAATAACTGTAGAAAGAAATGCCTGGGCCTCCCTGCTCAAGGTGCTGCCCCCACGACCCGACTCTGGAACAAGCAGACGATAATGGATGGGTGGAGGGGCTTGATTCTGCTAGTTTAGATTTTGTTGCAGAAATTGTAATTTGTAAGCCATTGTTTCCATATCAGTTATTGCTACTTAAAATTAAAATGTATGCATTAATGGTTTTCTCTTTTCCACTTCAGAGAAGTTAAGAAAACAACATGTCATACTTTTTAAATGCAGCATGAAAAATTCTTTGATAATGTTTGTTCCTTTTGAATTTAAATGAACATTTTCTGCATGTGGCTGTTTACACACATCACTTATGGGCTATGGTCTGTTGTGTGTGTTGCATTCAGGTGTGTAAGGAGAGGCAGCTAGTGAAACAACAGTGCAACAGCACTCATGACCAGCTGTGTGAGTGTGCACCAGGGTTTCATCTCATGGTGGAGTTCTGTATTGCACACACTCCCTGTCCTCCTGGTTATGGAGTCACAGTAGCAGGTGAGTCTGAGGTTCTCATTGCCAACAAACTGAAGTATGTTTACAGGGGTACTTGAATGTTTGTGAACCCTTTAGAATTGTCCATATTTCTGCATAAATATGACCTAAAACTCCAGGACAACCTTGTAAAAGAGATTAATAATCTCAATGGATTTCTTTCCTGGTTAAATAAAGGTTAAAAAAATTAACATAATAATATTTTCACAAAAGTCCTAAAAGTAGATAAAAAGAACCCAGTTAAACAAATGAAACAAATATATGTTATACTTGGTCATTTATTTATTGAAGAAAATGATAACTGTGAGTGACAAAAGTATGTGAACCTTTGCTTTCAGTATCTGGTGTGACCCCCGATGCATCAATAACTGCAACTAAATGTTTCCAGTAACTGTTGATCAGTCTTTCACACCAGCTTGTAGGATTTTTAGCCCATTCCTCTGTACAGAGCATCTTCAACTCTGGATATTGATGATTTCCTCACATTAACTGCTGCTTCAGGTCCTTCCACAACATTTCAATCAGATTAAGATCAGGACTTTGACTTGGCCATTCCAAAACATGAACTTTATTCTTCTTGGACCATTCTTTGGTACAACAACTTGTGTGTTTAGGGTCATTGTTTTGCTGCACGACCCACCTTCTCTTGAGATTCAGTTCATGGACAGATGTTCTGACATTTCCCTTTAGATTTCTCTGATATAATTTAGAATTCATTGATCCATCAATAATGGCCAGCCGTCATGGCCCAGTTGAAGCAAAGTAGGCCCAAACTATGATACTACCACCACCATGTTTCACAGATGGGATAAGGTTCTTATGCAGGAATGCAGAGTTTTTCTTTCTCCAAACATAACACTTTTCATTTAAACCAGCAAGTTCCCATGTACTCATCTGACCACAAAACATTCTTCTAACAGTCTTCTGGCTTGTCCTCATGATCTTTATGAAACTGCAGACGAGCAGCAATGGTTTTTTTAGAGAGCAGTGGCTTCTTCTTCAACCCTGCCATGAACACCATTGTTGTTCAGTGTTCTCCTGATGGTGGACTCATGAACATTAACATTAATCAATGTGAGAGAGACCTTCAGTTGTTTAGAAGTTACCCTGGGGTCCTTTGTGACCTCGCCGACTATTCCACGCCTTCCTCTTGGCGTGATATTTGTTGGCCCACCATTCCTGGGTAACAATGGTCTTAAATTTCCTCAGTTTGTCCACAATCTGTCTGACTGTGGATTGGTGGAGTCCAAACTCTTTAGAGATGGTTTTGTAAACTTTTCCAGCCTGATGAGCATCAACAACTCTTTTTCTGAGGTCCTCAGAAATCTCCTTTGTCCATGCCATGATACACTTCTACAAAGTACAAACATGTTGTGAAGAGCAGACTTTGATAGATCCATCCATCCATCCATTATCTTTACTTGCTTCTTCTTTTCGGGTCGCAGCAGTTACTGTGCGAGAGATGGGGTACACCCTGGACAGGTCTCCAGTCCATCACAGGAACACATAGAGACAAATGAGACAAACAACCATTCACTCTCTCACTCACACCTAGGGACAATTTAGAGTTATCAATCAGCCTAACATGCATGTTGTTGGTCTGGGGGAGGAAACCGGAGTACCCGGAGAAAACCCACGCATGCACGGAGAGAACGTGCAAACTCCAACCAGAAAGGCTCCTCGGACTGGGATTTGAACCAGGGTGACCTGCTCTCTGAGAGGCAGCTGATAGATCCATGTTCTTTAAATGAAACAGGGTGCCCACTCGCACCTGATCATCAACCCACTGATGGAAAACACCTGACTCTAATTTCACCTTCAAATTAACTGGTAATCCTAGAGGTTCACATACTTTTGCCACTTACAAATATGTATTGGATTGGATCATTTTCCTCAATAAATAAGTGAGAAAGTATGTTTTGTCTCATTTGTTTAACTGGGTTCTCTTTATCTACTTTAGGATTTGTGTGAAAATCTGATGATGTTTTAAGTCATATTTATGCAGAAATATAGAAAATTCTAAAGGGTTCACAAACATTCAAGCACCGTGTATAAACATACTGATTTGGTGTTTTTTTAAACAACTTTGATTTAAAAAATGAAATGTAACAGAATGTTTATGTGCTTAAACTTGAGAAATTTTAATAATTAGTCACACCACCTAACATGAGGGATTTAGATGAAGAATGTTATTTCATGTCTGTTTGTTTTCATCTTTATGCAACAGTCACTGTCTACATTTTTAAAAGCACAAGACATATGCCATAAAATAAAAGGGTAATAACTAAACATTCTAGCTGTCACATTATCATATTTTATATGTAATAAATGTGTCATTATGTAGAGAAGGATTTATCCATCGTTGTGTTTCTAGGGTCAAAAACTGTTTGTTTACACATGTGTCTGTGTGTCTGTCTTCTTTACACATTTCAAATACTTGACATTTCAGAAACACGGTATCAGAGCTGATCATACGTCATTTTCTCTTCATGGTGGGAAGATATTAGTTTTTGTCTCACTGGAAGTCCTTCTGTCTCTCTTTCTCCAAGTCAGCCTCTCAGATCTGTTCCAGATGTTCATTTCCCTTTTTAACAAAACCCAGAAGGACGCAACATTTTTAAAGACTGACTCTTAGAAATGCTTGCTGTTTCATTTTTACAAATCTCTCTTACCCTACTCAATCTCTTTATGTTTTGGATATTTTCATGATCTGCTTCATTACCACTTCTTGGTACAGAAAATATATGTAAATATATTCACTTTATTCCTAGCATTGCAGATCTTCCTGGCTCTGTCACCTGTTGAGACTCGCCAATGAAATCAGTTATCTTTTACATCCTGAATCTTTGAGTCTTTTCGATTTCTGGAACGCAAACTCTGGTTTTAAAACTCAGGCCAAACATGGCAAAAATGACAAAACGCTCAGGCCACGACCAAAGGTCACAGAGTTTGTCCGAGACTGAAAGAATTCATCAAACTCATGGATCAGAACAAGATCGACAACACAATCTAGTCCTACAGAAGATCTTCACTCACCAACAAACCTCCAGCACTAACCTTGAGAAGCTTGGTGGTATATTGTATTCTTTTAAACAGCAGCTGGTATCTTCTTTCATTACCAGCTGATGGAGTGACTAAGACACTATTTGCCCTGTCCACATCTCCCCCCTTCTTTCTCCTAATTCCACTGCTTCAGGTGATTTAACTGTTTACCCCTGAAAGGTTTTGATGGCAGTCCAGGTCGTCTTGGGGTTTCTTTCTTTAAGTTTTTCTCATGTTGCTATGGCTTACTCGTCAGATGGAGATAGATTAATTTTGTGATTAGTGCTTTAAAAGGTTAAGCTCTCCAGTGGTCGGAAGCCAATTTTAATTCTCACTCTCGAGCAGTTTTCCTACCGAGTTTCTGGAAGATTTAATTTGGGTGTTCGATCATTCCCTCCACCAGGAGGAGGCCACAAATAGAATTCTTTCACTACATCAGAGTAAGCAATATGTGGAAGAACATTCCATTACCTTCTGGGTCATGGTGAAAGAGACAGGCTGGAATAATCAGGCTCTTAAGGGTGCTTTTTATTAACTCTATCTGAACATCTGAAGGGCCAACTTGCCACTCGAAATGAACTCGAAACATTGGATGAAGCTATCAAACTCGCAGTTAAGATTGATAATTTCCTCCAGATATGACAGATGGAAAAGAACTAGTCCTAGGAATGACCGTCTTTCGGTTTCAGATCATTTCCGTTTTGCATACCACAACAACATAGTTTCCCCGCTACACACAAATCACAACTCAAACCTGTACAGCTTGGAAGGAACTGCATCTGGCCAGAGGAGAGACAGAGACATATAAAGGCTAAGAAGTGTATTCATTGTGGAAGACTGGGACATTTCGTCACTGCTTGCCCTGTTAAAAGCCAGAGACCGCCTTTCAGTAGAGACTGGGGGGTAAATATTCTTGTTTCTGCTGTTTGAGATTAACATTTCTTGCTATAATTCATGCTAAGCATGCTGTTCTCCCCATTCAAGCCCTGACTGATCTGAGCTGAACAGAATCTCATCAGCCATTATCTCACCAAACAACTTCACCTTCCCACAGTCCCTCTGTAACAGCCATTGTCTGTCATGGCTCTCACTGGCCAAACTATCACCACCATCACCTATAAGACTGAAAAGGTGCACTTCATTATTTCTGTCAACCATCACAAATGGGATGAGTTTTGTTTTTTCTGGTCCCACCTCCCATGTGGTCTTAGGCTTTCCCTAGCTTCTAAGAGATAACCCAGTAATAAACGAGTAGAAAGTTGGAGTACAGATTGCATGGCTAATTATCTTTGAGGTTCTGTCTTCTTCCAGAATGACAGGACCATCTCTTCTAATAAACTAGATTTTTCCAGAGTTTCTGCCATTTATGACCTGGCTCCGGCATTCAGTAAAATAGAAAGCTCTCTTTCTACCTCCACACTGACCATATGATTGTGCCATTGATTTGCTTCCCTACCTCCGAGCAGACTTTATAAATTGTCAGACCCAAAACAAGAAACTATGAAGAGCTATATTGATGATTTTCTAGCATCTGGTATCATCCGTCTTTCCACATCTCCTGATGGTGCTGTTTTTTTTTCTTTGTAGAAAAGATAGAGAAGACGCAGTATTTCCCCTACCCTTATACAAGTGGGGAGCACCACCCCATCAACAGAGCTGAGCACCCCATCTACCCCCACCCCCCACCCCCCACTTCCCCCAACACCTGTCAGCACTGATGTAACACTAAACTAGCAGCTTGCAATGCATGTGCACTAGCTAAAAAGAAAAGGCAGCCTCTTCTCTCATGCTGAACCCTCACACTGCCCCCCCCCCCCCCACACACACACACACACAGACAAAAACTGTTGGTAAAAACAGGGCACGGCTCATGTGTGTCTGTCTCCCCCCCACCCCAAAAAGGTCTGTACAGACAGTGCACATCTGAGATGTGTCTGTCTCTCTCCTCTGCCCTGCTCCAA